CCGCTTTTTTTTATCATCCGCAGCAGCAGAGCGAAAGATCGAGAGGGCATGAAAATTGGCTCCACGGAACGACTCGAGAAATTATATTTGTCGTTGCGCCGAGGCTAATTCCAACGACGAGGCGCTTCAGGCAATATACGCAAAGTTCTTTATCAGAATTTTCACTTCTTTGTGAATCAAAATAAAAAGGATTTATTTCCATTTAGAATTGAATCTGTATTATTGGCTTTATTATTTTTTAAAGACTAGATTCATCAATCAAAAAAGGTGGAAATTATTTCATTTTAGAATTTGTAGAAGATAAAAAATAATTCAGCTTTGCATGAAAAACTACAACAAACTTTTTTTGATAGTGCTAAATCACAATTAAATTAAAAATTGTGCTAAAAATCTCTTGATCCCCTATTTCGATATTAAACCATCCATTTGAAACTCGTCACAAACGCTTTTTTCGTCATTTCTATTAAGCATTGGCAATCGGCAGCATTAATTCTGCACACACACGTGGTGTTTAATGCTTTGTACGCGTGAGCCGCAGAGGCAAAACACCAGTTAATCGCCTCAAACGTCCAAAGCCAAAATCTGATTTTTTAAGCTGCGCTGCAAATCGGATGATTTTTACCGGAATTGTGGTTAATGCGCGTGGCATTAGGCGACCAAAATAAATATCGATTGCGACTCTGTATATCATATTGGCACTTCCTTTTTTTTCATTTCTCCGCACTTTAGTTTGGAGAGGCGAGAGAATATCAATTCACGGCCGCGTGTGCCCCTTGCCGCCGCCGCCGCCGACCACTCATGCGGCCCCTTCTTCTTTGTCTTTATGAGCCGCTTTTTGTTTGGTGCGGCGCGTGGATATGCATATCACAAAACCTGCTCTTGAAGATGAAAAAGGGCGATCGGGTTTCACCGTGTGAGTGACAGGAAGTAAGAGGAAAAAATTCAAAATTTATCGGACAGGATTGTAGTAAATTTTAGAAAATTCAAACGTAAATATAAATGTGGCTCTTGTAATTATTTAATTTTATAAATTTGGACTCAAAAGTTTATAAAAGTGTAAGTAATATTAATTTTAATATAACTTCAGAATTAAATTCCTCAATCATCCGGAAGATGAGGAATTTAATTGTTTTTAAGTGATAAGTTTAAACGTTTAGGTCATTTTGAGGAAATAACAATAATATATATTTTGATTTTACTTTCCTGGTAAAAAACTCTTCTATTTTACATTCAAAAGTTTAAGCAAACCATGAATAAAAAAAATTAATTGTATTGCATTCTACATTGGATTAATATGAAATGAAATTAAATGAACAATCAAGCCCAAGAAATATGATTTTTTTTTGCGAAAATATAAGTTTTATAACCTAAAATAAATCACATATGTATATTTTTCAATCTATTTGAGTAAAAAAAAACATTTTAACCTAAAATAACCAAAAAAAAATTAATAGATTTTTTTTTACTAATTTTCTACAATGAAATATTCTAAATAATACCCAGCAACTTCAAAACTTTTCACCTGCATAAACATCCACTTTTCAAATATTTCTAAAAATTTCAACTATTTTACGTATTTGTGAAGATGTTTGTTGTTGTTTTTAAAATATTTGTGCAACTTCAACTTGACGTATCAAATCTTCAGAAAGAAGAATTGAATTTTGCAATAATTGAGCGAATCATTATTTTTCGTGTCTAATCCTGCTCGCATTATTGTCTTTTCATCTTGATGCTTTGGTCCTCGGGCCATTTCATTCGAGGAACAAACGATCGCCCGAATTCTGGTCGCCGACGGCGCTCGGTCTCTATCCTTGAACACAGGCCCTTTGTGCCGGCAAAGCGACGACTTTATTACTCCGAGGGCTGCAATAACATTTCGAAAAACACACCGGCGGCACAGGCAACACAAATTGGGTCCCTTTTCTGTTATCGCTGCCTCTCCTTAATTGGCTCAGAAATTTATCTTGCTCGCAAAAGTCCGGCGGTTAATTTCCGCGAGGGAAATGAAACTCGCCGGTTTTCTGACCGGTGCGTGGAATTAAAAAAAAAAAAAAAATATGGATGTTTCATCTGCGGAGCTCATTATTTTCGGCCCTGTACTAATTAACAAAGCGGCATGCGAAACCGGTTATTGATTTTCCAGCGCCAATAATCTGCGCGACGAGTCCACTATTTGCTCCAAATATTGCAAATTGCTCTCAAATCGATCACGGGAGAGAAAAAGTGAATGAATTATTGTTGTGTTGAATTATTGTTTATATTTCGTAGAAAAAAAATCAGAAGTATAAATAAATAATTTTGCGTGAAATCAATTTTCATTTTGAAACTGAAAGTGCACAAAAAGCTTTTTCTATTTTTGCTTAATTGATTAGAAATTACTGAATACACTCTAAATTTTCTATAGAAAAGTTCAATAAACCAGCAATAAAATTAATTATAATAATTATTTTCATATTTTCGCTAAAGCGCGTTTATAAAAACGATATAAAAAAAACTTGGTGTATTTAACTCGCACGAACAATTTTGCGTCAAATTGACACGTTCGGACATCAATTTTGCACTCTTCATGTGTGTGAGGTTGCATTAATGAAAGTGGTGCGAAGGTGGAGAAAATTTATGCGCGGCAGTGCGTGGCCACTCGTGTGTCGTTCCATCTCTCGAGATTCGCAAATCCACGCGACGGCGGGGGGTGATCGACCCCTAGCCATTGTGCAGAACAAACAATTTCCTGCGCGACAAAAAGCGGGTGTGTTGATGGAGACGAGAGAGAGACGCAGCCACGCTCTCGGAGATTAATAATTTCGCACAAGTGACACACGGCCCCGGCAATGGCACGTAATCGCTCTCGCAGACACACACTTGCTGTTTACAACGTTCTCTGCCAACAGTGCCAACCTTTCGTTTACTTAGAGGTCTGCACCGCCTGAATAAAAATAAAAATGCTTTATAAATTTGACGTAAAAAATATGAAATCCTTAAAAATATTAAATAAAAAATATAATTCTTAGCCACTTAATTATACAAAAATAATCAAATGATGTAAAAAAAAATTTTAAAATCTTTTATTCCATGGCTAAAATAAAATTTCAATTAGAAAACCAAGTAAATAAAACTTATTTTAGAAAATAGTGAAAAAATTGAAAGCTTTACAAAATATTTAAATTAAAACAATAAAAAAAATTAAATTTTTGAACTGATAAAGAATCAATAAATCCATATGAACAAAATTAAATATTGAATTTTTTTTTAAATTTCCAAATAATTAATTATTTGAAACCGAATTAATTGGGGGAAAAAAATATTAAATCTTTAACCTCCACGGGGAAAATGGCAACCCACAAATTTATCTAAAAATTTAATAAAGTATAATTAAATAAATTTAATATAGCGAAATAAATAAAATTAATTTTTTTGGCCGATTTTGAATGACTTTAGACAGAAATTCTGGAATTGGAAATTATCAATTTCCATGTAGGCCACGGAACAGTCCAGAAAAAAGTCATGATAGTACGGAAAACGGTCTCTTGCGAGGGCCTCTAGAGTTGAGACGGCAATAGCGAGTTTTTGCAGAAAAGCGCGCGGAAGGGTCCAGCCAGCTGTTTGCGATTATGAAAGGAGCAAAATGAGAGTCGCAGGTTTTGTTTGCTTCCCTTTACACGCTTTCCAGCTTTTAAGAAAAAGTAATATTCCGACAGAGTGTGTGTGTCAAAAGCCACTCTGCTCCGTTTGCATGTGGTACATTTTGAAGTAATGCGCTGGTGCGGATCACGTGCGGCGGCACAAAAGGTTGCATAACTTACCGACCGTCAGACGTGCACCCCCTATTGTTCGGGCAATTCATCATATTTCATTTGCCAAAAAGCAGCGCCGGCCGGATACACTGCGCCGCTTCTCACAAAAGCAAAACTGCTTTCGCTGCTAATGCGAGCAACTACGGCACGTTTGTAGTTAGCGGGCTTGATGGATTTGCTTTCCATGTCTTTTGTGACTGAGGATAATTTGTCATTGAAGCAGAGCTAAAATTGGACGAAAGTTTACAAGAACATTTTTTTTAAAAAAAAAAAAAGGAAAAAATCAGAAAAATATAAATTAAAGAAACGAGAAAAGCTTATAAATTTCATATTTTAATTTAGTTTGTTCGTTTTTTATTAAAAGCCATTTTTAATTTTTTTACTTTTATAATTAATTAGTTTCGGAAAAGACACAAATTTTAGTGAAATATCAAGACTTAATAAAATTTTGATATTAAAAATGTACTCAAGCTCTAATTAAATAGTTTTTTATAGCAATTTAATTTAAAAAAATTGCCCATCCATTTTAAATTTCAACAAACTTAAGTTTTCTTCACTATTTTCAGACAAAACTGAAAGAATAATTACTCAAAAATCTTTGTCAAACTCCTTAGAATGCATTTTTCAACCTGCTGGTGGCAAATTGACGGAAAACTTTTTCCGCCGCCAGTGTTGGCCAACAACAAATTTTATTATCATTTTTTTTTTCACTCCGCCTTTTTTTGCATTTTATTTTTCCGCTCTTTTTACATTTGGCAGAGCGTTGGGGCGGCGGTATACATAATTATCTTTTGCAGGAAGATCTCATTATTCGACTCACCGTGACGCTGCGCTCCGTCATTTTAATGGAGTAACAAAGAAACAAAGATTGCGATGCGCTCACTCATTAAAAATAATTCACAGCGCGCGCAAACAAAGGCGCCGTGCAATTAATGTGGAGCAGCTGCCGCCTGCCGTGCCATTCACGTGTTTTATCTTTTGACTCGCTTGCTTTTGCCCAAGACGAGTGTCTTCGCCTGTAATTAATTGGTGGCGCGCGCTGCCTCTCCACTGCGAACAAAAAATGTACGCGCGTCTTTTTTTTTGCCCTTTTTTTATTTAAAAATTTCATTCAGACCCACGAAGAATTTTTTTTGCATATTTTTTAATCTAATTAAAAAATTACTTGTACAGAACAAAACAGGATGTCCTTAGCGCGTGATTCTTTTGACGTTTTGTTATCATTTCCGCCAGTGGCGAACCGCAATAGCGTGAATAGTTTCAGTGCCGACGCTGAAGAAACTCTCAACACATCGAGATTTACTTTCATCTCAATTTAAACTTTTTTATTGGGGAATGGAGCAGGTTGACGATTTACATTAAATGCCGAGGGGCAAAAAGTGCGAGTGAAATATTCTTTTCAAGTTCTTTTCAAGCAGTTTTTGTATTTCTTGTTAATTTCATGATTTTTCTTGCAAATAATAAAAAAATGTACGAAATGAATCATAATAATAAATAGAAAACAAATAAACATTTTTTAACAAATTATAATTTCAGAAGCCGCATCCCCAAATATGAAGTTGGAGGAAATTGTGGAATCAGGTTTGTATTTAACAATTTATAAGCTATTTGAAAAATTTTAATTTGAGAAATTTAATGTGCAATTTGTTGTGTTTGTCATTTGGCCTCAAACCTAAACTCGATTTAATTAATTACTTACATTATTTATCCCTTAAATAAAAAAAATTAATTTTATTTCAATTGAGCATTTCAAAAGTTCTTATAAAAAATCAGAAGCACTGACAATTTTTAAAGAAATTTGAGCTTTTCAGGTTTCGATGAGGGATGTCCTGATGGGCCTGCCCGACTTGGGTATTTCGAAGTTGAGGAAAAAGTTGAAAATGCAGACAAGTATTTAAATAAACTAATTTTCATTTATATTTTATAATAATTGTGCTTCTTTTCAGTGTTTTTGTACTTGTTGTGCACTACGACTTCAAAAGCAGCAAATTTTGGCACCGTGTTGGTGACAACAGAGACGTGGAAAATTTGAGAGAAACTTTCGCTGTCAACAGAAACTGTAAATTCCGCGATATGCTTTCACCAAAGAAAGAGGATTTAATAACTTTGCTTGGAAGTGAACAAAAAATAATGAGATTTTTTGCTTGTACAGGTAAATCTTTTTTTTATTTCCGTTTCAAAACTTCTAATTTAAGTTTTTTGAACAGAAATGGAGCCTTCGGTGTTCATTTTCGTAATTTTGTCGCACGGAGGCCCAGATGGAAAGATTTTCACCGACACCCTTCTCAGCTCAAAATCAAATGATTTTGATTCATTCAAAACAAAGGATTTGTTCAAAGCTATGAACAAAACCTTTCAGAAAAGCATGAAATTTTTATTCTACGGAGTAATATTTTGGATCTTTTAAAACTCATTAAAATTAATAATTTGTTTACATAGCCATGTAGAGGTCAACTTGACGATGAGGTATATCACCCTTGCCAATCAAAACCAAACGACAACAACGATCTTACGCAAAATCGAAACTCGTGCAAAGTTTCTTTTCATCCGAAAATGCGAAACCTCGTCATTTTCTACGCAACTGTCGAGAGTAAAAGAATTAAATATTTTATTCCGACGTTCAAATTTTTTTGCAGCCACAACGGCACGCAGAGATTGTAACACAGGAACGTGGATGGTGAAATATTTGTGCGAAGAACTGAACGGGATGAAAAAGAGTCTAAATGTTTTAACTTTGCTGACGGCCGTGCACAGCAGAATTGACAAAAAGACAACCGAGTGTTTGGTTGGCCAGACGCCGGAATTGAAAGTCTTTCCAATGGACAGGAAATTTGTTTTCCACCGAAGGGATTCGTGAGAAATTAATTAATTCTTTATGAAATTTTGCATTAAAATTTTAATTAGTGGGAACGTCGAAGATCAAGCATTGGTTTTCAATTGGTGGAATCCGAAAACAAAAACGGTTCTGAGAGGCAGAAGGGCTGTAATTTTTCACGAAGGGAAGACAAATGAACAAATCAATAAACTTGAGTCAGCTTTAGTTTCAAATTTAGGTTTTGAGACAATTATTGCGAATATCACTCGGCAAGGACTAAATCATTATTTCAGTAAATTAGGTAAACTCTTGCTTTTGATTTTAGAATTTGTTTTTAAATATACATATTTTTTCAGATTGTAAATCTTGGAGCAACTACGGTTGTTTTGCAGCATTCTTTTTTGCTGAAGTCGTCGAACAAGAGGAGGACGGGCAAATTTGCATTCGTTTGAGCGGGAATGAAATTATACCGATCGGAGATTTAATTCACGGATTGCTCGGCCCGAAAAACGACGACTGGATTGGGAAACCAAAACTATTTTTCCTCATTAACCAAAAACACATCGACTCGGATGGCGAAAATATGGTAAACGATTTTAATTATATGAAATAATAATATTAAAATTTGTGTTTTTTTTATAAGGAGGAAGAATTAAATGAAATTCTACAGGCCACGAATCATAGCGGTTGGCTCGCTTTCATTCTACGTGATAAAGGTATCGCCTTTAAACAAATATGAGATCATGTATTTTTAATTAAAAATTTGCTTTTAAGAAATTGAAGAGCGAGTTTTGAGCATATTTGACGATAAAGGAATAAAAAGCGGTAAAAACCTGCAAGATTTCTTAGACGAGCTTTTGATCAATGCAAAAGACGTCATTTTCGTGTCGACCCTATCGTACCTTTTGACATTTCCTGAACTGGATCGTCATTTTGTTGCACCCAATTTCCTTATAAAACTGAACGCCCCTGAAGAAGAGCAGAGAGTTGAATACAAAAAGATAATTGAGCTCGCACAGAAGTTCAGCGACATCCAAATTTGGCTTATGTCGTCCCTTCCAGGTTCTGGCAAGTCAATGATGATGCGCGAGATTGCTTTTGATTTGCAAATGGGTGGTAGAGAAAAAGTTTTTAGCATCAGTTTCTTAGACGTCTATGATATTTTATCTGAAGCGGAAAGGAACAGGCGAAAATACATTCCATCTTTAGCTTTCGTCGTTGCCAAAGCAACTGGAAACCGAGAGCTTGAAATTCAAAATTTGATCGAGGAGAAGAAAATAATCGTCATGTTTGATGGTTTTGATGAAATTTGTCCTGAAGAAGAAGCGAGAGTGTTGGAAATCCTATCAGAAGCTGCTGAAAAGCACGTACGCATGTGGATTTCAACAAGACCGCACGAGGAAAACACGATTCTTGAAAAGCTTAAAACAATTTGCAAAATCTGCGTCTTCGAAATCATGCCATTAAATCTCCAACAGCAAACAGACCTTTTGGCGAAGATTTTCAAAGGCAACAAGGTCGAACACCAAAGACGACGAATAATGCTTAACAACGGTTTGCGTGAATTGCGAAGTAACCCCCTTCACCTGAAGATGATAGCTGAGATTAGCGAATCAGTCTTGAAGGACAAGCTGAACGTGTACGATATATACGAGGCAATAGTGCAAATGAAAGTGGAGTTTTCGTTGAGTAATTTAGAGAAGAGTGGCCCACGTTTCAAAAATAAAGTGATGGCTTCTATTGAAGAACTAGAGGATTTCTCGGCTAAATTTATAGGCCGAGAAAAAGTGGACTTGGAGAATTTACAAAACAAGAACAATGGAATCGTGACCTTTCGGAATAATAGGGTTCATTTCGTCCACCTGACGTTTGCAGAATTCCTAGCCGCTGGCCACTACATCAGTTGCCTTTTCAAAAACTCAAAAATGCCTTTTGATATTTTGAAAAAGGAATACCTTCAAGTCAGACTTTTCGTGGATATGAAATTGTCATCCCTGTCAAAAACTGACCCTGAATTGATTGAACAACTCGAGATGTATTTGATGGAAACTCTTACGAAACCACTTCTTTGTACAATTATCATCTCTGAAAACTTGAAAACAATGTTTTCTGTCGTGGCAAAGCACATCTCGTTTAAAAATATCAAAACCAAAGGCAAGCTCCATTTTTCTGAAAGTGAGTACATTTTGAAAATGGCTTTCACTCGAACTGAAACAATCGCACTGAGACTGCTAGAATTGGGGGCTTTTGAAAGCTTGATAGATCCAAGCACGTTCGTAGTTGACATTCTGGGGTCCGTGATCAATAAAAAATTTCTAATCCTTTTCACTGAACTGGAGAAAAAATGCCAAGAATCAAGCAAGCCGTTGAAAAAACTTGTCAAATCAATGTATTCTTTGAAAAGTATTGTTGAGTGGGTCGCTGCAGTAAACAACTACCAGATGCTTCAACTTTTGTTCGAAGGAGGATTGTGCGATGCCCTAGATGCGCAAAGCTTATTCAAATCGGCAGTTCAAAATTACAGCGAAGAGTGCGCAAAGTTCATAATCGGACATACCAAATCACCATCAAAGCTAATCTCGTGTTTTAATGAATGCAAGGAACTCACTTTAGAATTAGTGCAAACTTTCCTCAAGAAAGATCCGTCAACTGCAGCAGCCATATTTAAAGTGGCTTTGAACATCAGGAATTTTGAAAGGGTCACGTATTTGCACGAGAAATATGACCACTTGGTGAAAGGTACAAGATTCGAAAACGGCGAAAGTGCTTTGCATATCCTGGCTCGTCGTAAAGGAAGCGATTCAGTTGTCACATTGGAAATGTGTCAGTGGCTGATAGATGAAGTTGGAATTAAAATTGGAGACATTGACAAATTTGGGCAAAACGCAATTCATCTGGCAGCAAAAGATGCCAATTGGGAACTGGTCAAGTACTTTTTAAACAAGGACCTCTCAATTATTGAGGCTCTGTCAAAAAACGGTGAAAATTTAATGCACTTTGCCATTCAATGCGAGCAATGCGAAGGATGTCTGGAAATGGTAAAATTCCTGCATGATTTGAATGGAAATTTAATTAATCATAAAACGAATAACGGAGAAACTGTTCTTCATTTTGCTGCGAAGCAGCAGAGACTGGATTTATTCCAATGGCTACTTGAAAATGGGGCGATTCTGAATGCAGTGGACAATGAAGGATGGAATGCACTTCATATTTTCGCTTCGAGCTCATCAGATTTGAAAGCCATAGATTTAATTCACGCAAAATCTCCTGAAATCATTAAATCCGTAACTAATAAAGGGGAAAACGCCATGCACTTGGCCCTGCAGAATCAACAAAGTGCAAAAATAGTAAAGCACCTGCATAAATTAGACGGTGAGCTTGTTCAGCAAAAAACGAAGGTGAAAGAGACAATGTGTCATTATGCCTTAAGGGAAAGCAATTCTGAGATTTGCATGTGGCTCGTTGAAAACGGAGCTTTTGCTAACGAAGTAAACAAGTTTGGTCGCAACGTTTTGCACGTTGCAGCGTATGAATTGAATCTTGCAAATGTCCAAAGAATTCTTGAAAAATATCCAACACTCACAGCGACCGTGAGTCAAAAAGGAGAAAACGCCATGCATTTGGTTTGTAAGAATCCGGCCATTTATGACAGCAACTGTGTAGAAATGGCGAAGTATCTCCATAATTTGGACAGTGGGCTGATTAAACAAAAAACAAAATCAAAAAAGACGATGCTCCATTTGGCTGCGAAAATGCGTAATTTTCATCTGTGCAAATGGCTGATTGAAAACGGGGTTGACGTGGATGCAGTGACTGGTGACGGGTTCAATTCACTTCATTTTTTCGCAATTTACAAGATTAATGTCAAAGCTCTCGATTTAATTGTAGAAAAATCCCCGTCCATCATAAAAACGGTCACCGACAAAGGTGAGAACGCGATGCACTTGGCCGTCAGGTGCTGGGATCACCAGCAAAGCGCGAAAATTGCCAAACACTTGCACAAATTAGACCCCGACCTGATCACACAGAAGACGAAGAGTAACGAAACGGTTCTCCATTTGGCTGCAAATGCTCGCAATTTTCATTTGTGCCTTTGGCTTATTGAAAACGGAGCTGACGTGCATGCAGAGGACAACGATGGTTGGAACGTCCTTCACATCGCAGCGTATAGATTGCATTTTGATTTTGTCGAAATTGTTCTCAAGAAACATCCTGCATTAATAAAAACGGTCACGAAGCAGGGAAAAAGCGTAATACAGTTGGCACAAGAGAATCCTGATTCATACCAAAAATCCAATGTACTGAAATTCTTGTACAAACATTTAAGAAAAATGTAATATTTTGCACTTCAATTGCATCGATTTTTTATTGATCAAACACGTTCCATACTGCTAAATTGTGATTAGATGTATCATAAAATATATACTCTCAAAATTCCAACAACCATTTTTACTATTGAATTTTCAATGAAGAAGTAACAAAATTATATTAAAATGTAATAATAAATTATTTTAATCAGTCTAGAATATTAATAGTTCCATTATAATTGAGCGTGTCAAGAGTTTGTTTGTTGGAAAAAATCAACTTTTATTTGAATTTAATTATTCAAGGTATTAAAGGAATCTTGTAAAAATATTTTTGTAAGAGAAATTCAGTGGGGAAAGAAATGTTGGCATATTTGTATTTTTCCCGTGCGTCTGCTAAAGCGTGATAAAAACATGAGGAGGATGAGAGCAGCTCCTTCGACAGCAGAGCAAACAGGCGCTGATGAATCAATATTTTTTGCTTCGCGAACGTGATCCTGGTAAACAACTCTAGCATGCGTGCTAGCGGAAGATTTCATTCTGGAAATTGTTGAAATTTATAACGAGAGGAAAATCAACAAAAAGCTAATTTCGCTTAGTTAAACAGCCGCGCCTTTTGATGCTGGAGGGAGAGAGCGAAGGCTTGCTTATCAGTCGATCTCGCTGCAAAAGAGGCGCTGAGTTTGTGTTTCAATTTAAGCGAATCGAGCGGCTTATCGGCGTGTTTGAATCTGACAAAAAGGGACCATCAAAGGACAGACGGCAAAAGAACACGCGGAAAAGGGAGTAATAACATAGCCTTTTTATCGGCTATTTCCTCAAATCATTAGACGAAACGATTTAATTATTAAAATCCAATTTAAATTATAAAACAGTTTCAACCATTGATTTCTTCCAACCAATAATTTCCGAATTTATAGATGGTTTTTTTTTCAAGCAAATTTTTCTTTGAGCAAAATAAAAAAGTTTGAAAAAAAAACTATTTAAAATTCTTATTTTTTTTATCTTTCTTCACTTTCTAAATTTTAGGCAAGCACATCACGCACTTTTGGATGAAAAATGTATATGGCCCGGACACAACTTCTAGCGGCGCAGTGTTTGCAGTTGAGGGCAAACAACGGCCATGATTAAAACGCGGCCCGAGGTCTAGAGGTGTTTTGCGCTCAAATTTGCGCAGCTCTCTCGGCGTTTAATTCGCTCGCGTCGACTTTATTTAAGTTGCACTCTTTGTGTGCGAAAATTGCTCTGCATGTTGAGCGCGTTCACCACCGATCTGATGGACTTTGCTCGAGCCTCGTTTTTCCAAAGCAATTTGCAGCACTCATCACAAGGAAATAACCTCTTTGGGCTTAATGGAGATGTTAAGGGAGGTTCAAAGTTTTATTCACTTCACATCTAACTTTTTACAAAATTTTTTTTTATCTAAAAAAAAACTTATATTTTTGCAACTCAAAAAGTTTTATTATTTAGTTCACTAAATGTCATGTCAACTTTTTAGTGCTTTTTAGGATTTGATTCAAAAAATTATAAAAAGAATCGCGTTTTACAAAATTTTTAGATATATTTTTCAATTTAAAACCGCCTCAGGACATTCTTTCTCGAGGCAGAGGGATTCATTTCGTTATTAGAAGCCGGAGACCCGAGGCTCGGAAGCAATCACGGCTTTTCTTGTTTGCTCACAACAGACTTGCGCTTAATTTACAAAAATGCCTGAGAGGGATGTCACCTTTTTCTTCTCCCTCACTATACGGAATTATAAAAGCTGCCGGGGACGGAATTAATGCGAGACTCTCACAGCGAAAAAAAATATATAAATGCTAATGGCCAACTCAGGAAGCAAGTGTTCAAAATTTAGGACTGGAAGTAAAATTACTAAAAAACATTTTCCTTATGAAATTTATACACAGGTTTCAGAATTTGTAGCGAAGAATTTTTTAATGAAAAGTTTTCCTTTTTTTAATTCTAGCAACTCAGGAAATTGACATTTTTGACATTTTTCTTCATCCCTATCAAAAAATTCCTTCCATTTAATGAAGGCAGTCCTTGAGATTTGAACATTTTCTTCGCATTTAGAAATTCGCAGTTTGCTCGTCGGCGAAAGCCATCAAAAAAGCCATTTCGGTGCATTTCGCAGGCACTACCGCGCTGTCCTAATCCGAGAGTAAATAAATATTTAGTGGCGAACGTGCCCGGCGTGGCAAGTTGCACATAAAATGAGCCGTAAATCATTCTGCGACCACCCGCGCAATAAAAACAAACGCGGGTATATCGCGGAATGAAAGTTTTAAGTACGTGACGCGCCGCGCGACTCTTTTGTGTGTATCTCGCCCCCGAAAAATGGCTTTGATTAGGGCCAACGAGTGCAGTCTTCACTTTTATAACTTCTTTATCTTTCGAGCCGCAGGGGAGCAAATGTGCTCAACATTCGCATAGAGTCAATCAAATTTTTGTTGGCAAACAAAAACCCATTTTGGGCAAAAGACATCAGGAGAACCAAAAAAAGTGTATTCGAATGGAATTCTCAATTCCAATCTCCTATTCATACAAAATATTGGTACATATTTTAGTTCCAAAGTGTCTTTAAGCTTCGTGTCTAAAAGAATTTTTTAACCCAAAATTCTCATAGTGGCTGAGAATTAAAAATTTTTAACTTGGACTATTTCAGAGTACAAAAAAAATAAATAAAGCTCAGTTTTGTAAAAGTCTTGTCAATTTTAACAAATTAAGACTTTAATCTCATACACTTGTCGGACTAAGCTCGATTGAGCGCTCATAAGTCATTTTAATTTGTAGTTAAAGGTTTTAGCGATTTTAAATGTTACAAAATACCGTTAATTTAAATTTAAAGAAATAATAATATTGTTGAAGTAAAATATGTGTAATATTTTTAATAAATATAGCTCATAAATTACTAATTTTAATTTAATTATTAATTTTTATACAAATTTTTATTGTTTAATTTTTTTACAATTTTATTATATATATTATTGTCTTGTATTTTATTTAATTTAGTTTTATTAATATTTTATAATTTTAGTATTTTAAGTTTTTTTAAATTACTCAGTTGAGCGCAGCATTATTAGTTTAAAAAAAAAGCATTATTCTTCCCTCTTTTATCTCCAAAACATAAGTTAAAATAATAAAAATTTCAGTTTAAAATAAAAATTTAAATAGGTTCTTTTGATTCTTTTAGCTTTTTTTCTACAGATTTGTGCATTTTTCTCTTTGACCATGTCAAATACGGTCATTTTCGATGTTGTTGTTCCATATTTGCATGATTTTTGCATTATAGAATCTGTAAAAATGTCTTGAATATCGCTTGAAATTTTTGTTCATGGTATAAAGACGAGACATAAATCTTAAGCAGGCCTTCTTCCAACCCACATTTTTGGGGTAATTTTTTGCACGTCTTTCAGATGTAAATTTTTTACGAGGCTCCACAGCACATCAGCCCGCACTTCTTCTTCTTCTCTTCCTTACATTACACATCCATCTCTCCTCTCGACGTGTTTCCTTTCATACGGCTTCTTTTTTTTTTCATCGCCGGCACTAAAGATTGAAAAGGAATAATTCGCGCGCGAGGGAAATTTGCGTCGCGACCGAGGTGATGGATTTTAGAGTGCATTCAGAGAAAGGGGTGGGATAATGGCGCGCCGACCGAGTGGCACAGACCGCGAATTAGACATTGATTCTTTCTTTGAGGTGCTCGAACAGCGACTCAAAGCGGCACGGAGATGAAAACAATCAAAATTGATGGATCAAAACGGAGAGGGCGGCGACGACAAAGAAAGAAAGGATTCTTTTCACCCCTATATCGGTTCATGGCTCTACGAATTCCAATCAGAATTTGTTGACGTAGACATTTTGAAGGGTTATTTGTGGATTTACAGATTTTTTTTTTATTTAGGTCAGAAATTGATTAGCTTTCAAAGTTTTTATATGAAACTAGAATTACAATTTTTTTTAGTTCATTTTTAAAAACTGTCTCTGTTTTCTGGTCTTTCTGGCCAAATTCTGGTGCCAGAACATATTTTGCTCGAGTATCTCGTTTCAAACGCTGTGGAATTTCGAATCTGTGAAATTTGAAGCTTTTTTCGGACAAATAATAACGTGAACTGGAGCGTGAAATTGGGTGCACTTTTGCCCTCAACTTTCGCTCGCTAAATTTGGCGCATGGAAGAATTTCTCTCGGCGCGACAGAAATAAATTTATCGCAGCAAATTGCAACTGCCGCTTTCTCGAATTCCTTTTCCTCTCGTTCCGCACAAAGAAAGGGCGATGATTAGAATCGCAAAAACTTTCCTTCCTCTCCGGAAAGGACTTTCTTCGTTTTCTTTTTTCCCCTGGGCGAATCGAATGCGCGCACATTTGGATACATTTCAATACGTGCGTGCGGCCCCAGAGTGCCTTAAATTCCTCGGCACGAAAGCTGCAGAAAAAGTGACGCTGGAATTTATTCGCCCTATTGCCTCGCCGCCGTTTTTGTTTCCCTCGGCGCGTCGAACAAGAATTCCAAAGTGCCGTTCGCACCCCCACGCGCCCGACGGGACCAACAACTTCTTCTCTCTCGCCTCGATCCGCACACAAATTGCTCCGTCCGCCCAGATTTGTAACAAATGTTTGTGCTAATAATTCGCAATGGGGATCCAAATATTTATTCAAACAATGTAAAAAAAAATTGGCGGTGTTCAAAAAGCTTTAAATTTTGAACGATTTTACTTTTTTTTTAAAGTTGATTTATTTAAATTTGCAAGAAAAGGAACAAAAGAATTTTTAAATTTTAGTTTTTAACACTTCTTATTTTGATTTAGGTGTTGAAGATTGACAATTAATTATAGAGAAAATTCTATCAATTTGATGATTCAAACGTGACGGCTTTCATTTTTTTAAACCAAAATTTAACGCCCGCAGCGTCAACAACCCCATCCGCAATAACATTATTAACATATTTGTTCTTTATTTGTGTGCTGCATATTTAAAAAGGTCAGTCGGTCTTGCTTGCCAATAGTGAAGAAGGCAAGCGGGAGAAAAATTTAAATTTCATACGAAGAAGACTCAGACTCTTTATTTTTTACGCGGGCT